AAAAGTGTTCAAAATAGCAAAGAAAATGTAGAAAATGTGAGCTCCCATCATTTTTCATTCTTTTCTTCACTTAAAATACAACTCAAGCCCAACTGATGAATATAACACTAACGAGAGGTGATTTAAAACTAATAATTATTAGATATTTGTAAACAACCCACCGGTCGCTGATTTTCCAGGGCTTACATTTCGCCAAAAATCCGATTACATATCCATTCATTTCCAAATTTATCATTTAGTTTGGAAAACTGCTAGATACTCATAGGCCAACGAAGAGTGCGTATAGAGGGCGTGGAGTACAAAACTGTTTCTAGTTTATTATCACGCGGTTCTGTTACATTCAAAAAGTTAATAACTTAGTAAACAATGGTGAAATGCGAGACGCGAAACACGAATTAATAACCAACGGTGAAGTGCGAGACGCGAAACGCGGGAATCGCGTGACAGCACCCAGACAATGGTCACATAAAGGCAGACATATTGTAGTAACGATCGAAGCGACGTCGCGACAGCCATATCTTAAACGGAGATCAACGAAAAGTATAATTACTCAAACCCCATCAAGATAATCGCCGGCTATATAGGATTATGCAATATATTGCATAATCCCACAAAATGGTATGACTACGAGGAGTTTTAAAGCAGAGTTTCGGTTTCTGTCGAAGATTTAAAATTTTCATATCAGTGATTTGTCGAAACAAAAGCTCGCTATGTGTAATTTCTGCCTATCCAAGTATATACTCATTGACACCTAAAACTTTTTGCTGAAACTTGTATAACATACAAAATGAGAAATCTGGAACATTGTTTGTACCCGAATTTCTAAAATGATCGATCGATAGACTCGATCAGAGGTTGATACCTTATCGCATGCCGTAAACTAAGTGTATTTTGACAATCTTATAAATCCATTGAAATCAAGGATTTGTTTTATCTACAAGTGCAATGACTTTATACCAATGTCCCAGGTGAGTTTAGCGACACCTTGTTTTCGACAAAGAAGAAACGAATGGCTACTGTGATATTTCAATAACACCGGTGCTGAAAACCAAATGACAGAACTTACCTTTTGATGTTGGCAAAAAGATAAATTATTTCCACTTTCGTCTTGAATCCAACGGCTAGTAATCTGATATACTAGCAAGTGCCATGGCGCTTTCCCAAACCATCCAAATAGTGTACTCTGCACTAAAAACACTATAAAACGGCACTAAGAACGAACGGATTCAA